ATTATCACATATAATCTCATACCATCATATCACATTAAGCACCACCTCCTCTAACTACAAACACTAAGCCTCTTGCCTTTGCAATGGAGATATACATGTTACAAATACAAGCTAAATAAAGATGCAGGTGGAAATTTAACATAGACCTTGATTACCCAGACTGTACCAAGGCCAGCAGATCAACCCCTCCATCATATTCCAAACTTACAGTTCTCCCTTCTGTCAGCAGTTATAAAAATAAAGTTATTTAGTTTTAATGGAAAAACCCCCCAACCAAGTGAAACAAGAAGAAACCCTCCATCTAGCAACATGAGATAAAATTTTCTGAGAATTATCAGTACTATAAATTGTAATGTTACATCAATAAGCAGAAGAAATATCTAAATTTTCATGTAACATCTTCATACGTTTTACTTTTACAGAACCAGTTAATCATAGTAGCACTAGCATTTTTTTGTGTGCTCCTTTTCTTCTACAAAATCTGTTTTTGTGACTAGGTGTGCTAGTTGCCTTAGAAACCACTGTAAAAGCAAATCAGATCAATAAATACTTGGCACTGTCAGTACTGCTGGCAGACATCTGGACAATCCCAAACACAAATATAATACAAATTAGAAAGTCATCACAAAGAGTATCTGGCCTATGGTGTTTGGAATGGAACCATCTCCACCTAGATAATTTGTCATTGTCATCAGTCATGCAACAGCTCCACAAAGCAGCAGAAAAAGCAAGCTGAGCTTTATAAAACTGAACTACTTTCTGCCTTGTGGTAAAGCTACCTTCAAAACACATGAAACCAGGGGAAAATGCCATCTTGTGAATTACCTGCATGATAAAGCCACGGAGTTATGGAGGCATTTGAGAACTATCTGGATACACAATCTAAGTCCTATATCTTATTTTGGTGATATTTTAGCTGAGTGAAAGTCAAACTCTCAGAAAAAAGCATGCTAAGATCTGAGCATATTAATGCTGCAGAGATAACAAAGTCAGCAGCTAACAAAAAGCTTTAAAAACTAAAACACGAAACGAGTATTCAAACCCAAACACAGGGCATAGAAATAAGAAATGGCTTTGGCATACAACACATGTATGCGCTAATGTAACAAAATAGTGGCTATTGAGTTAAAGAAAGACATGACATGAAAACCATTACTCAGAAATACAAAGTGCCAAAGTAAAGAGCCTGGTCTGATCTGAATTAAGATCAAGATACACACCAACAATGACTACTGCAGTAACATTTCCCAACCAGAGAGTCAAAACAACAGACAAAGCGAGGTGCAGAGTTAAGTTGGGGTTGCTACATAAAAATCTTTTTTTTTTTTCCCCCTCAACATGGAAAAAACACTCTCAGGTGCTCTCAACATTTCTTCTAGCAAAATTCTGGAGACAGATTAGTTCAAAGAAAAGCTCACCATAAAGACTCCCTGATGACCATGAGAGAGAGGATGTTGAAGGAAACCCACTGATATACAAACTTGTGGTTTATCTGTACTTAGAAATACAGAGCTCTTCACAACTGGTGTGATGTCTACAAACTATATTCCCTACCATACAAATATATCCTCAATTCTAGGTTCTCAAAGAAACCCTTTTTATCTAAATAATTTCAGTATGGTTATTAGATTTTCTTTTAAACATTTCCATAATGTCAAGGTATAAAATAGTTGCCTTTAGGAGGCACTCCAACATACTCCAACATTTCACATTTCATCAGCTTTGCTGGTGACAGAATGACACAGAGCAGGGCTGTATTAGAGTTCTATACACAATGATAAGCACAGAGACGATAAGCATGCGGACAGGAGCAGTATATATAAAATAACAAGGAGACAGCACTGTCACATTCTGCAAGGAAACTGGAAGAGGCTTCACATCACTATTCATCAGGTCTTGAGATGAGTTACCGCAATACCACAGCCAGCCTCTAGTGCAATCTCACAGTCACAGACATTTATGGTGACACAGGTGAAAAAGAAAGATGTGATAACCACGCATGCCTTGTAAGGTGAATCCACAGGACTCCATCCCAGCCCAAATGCCTAAGATCTATTCCTACCAAGGTGACATAAATTCACAGACCTAGAGAGACAGGGTATATTCATCAAATGATGCGGAGAACATGAGGAACAAGCAAGTTTCATTGGAGAAATAATCTGTTTTCTCAGACCGCATGATACAGAGGGAAAATACAGACAAGCTCAGAGAACACTTGAAGAACAGTTTGTGCATCAGAAAGGTTTATGGACCAATCCTCTCCACAAACTGCACTCCAATGACTTGAGGAAATACAGTGTCTTGTCACAAACCATACCTTCTGGTATTAAAAGCATTTTTCTCACACTGCTCTCACTAATTAAAAAACCTGGAGTATATCTGAACAAACGATTAAAACAAGTGTTTTAATATTAATATTCTAATCCATTTGTGTCCCCAAGCTACCGAAAACATACCTAACTTTCAAACACACTAGTAGTCCTTTTAAAAATCAGAATTATACCCAGTAGCTAATCTCTGCTTCTTCTCAACCTGACTACTTCATATCAAAAGTGTCATCTCCTTTCTATCAAGTAATCAAAGCAGAATCTCACACCAACATAAACGCTACACAGACAACCTCATGAAAGCTAGGCATCTTAGCCTCAATTTACGCATAGGTAAGATTTACATTATCACGCTATTTGCGTAAGTGCATATACTCCCTAATGAATTCTTGCCTGCGTACCTCTTTGGCTTTCCGTTCATGGTTACCACCATGATTTGTACTCAACTCTCTTGACACATCACATCAGCTAATTTAAAAAACACACTGTGATTAACATCAACTGTTTATATTAATCTTTCTCATTGAATTACATCCTTTCTCAGTCCGGACCTGATCTACTACATCAGAAAAACTGTTGCTCCAGTTATGACAGTTTTAGAGTAGTTTTTATCCTATTAAGGTGAACTGCCAGCACCGAAGAGGTTATTCCTCAGTGGCTCAGATCACTCTGACTTAATTTAAAATTTACTTATATTGCAAAGTGTTTAAATACAGATGACCCTTTACTGACATGAAAAAAATTAGCTCACACGCATTTGTACAGCACCTAAGGTACACTGCACCTCTCTCTCCCATTTGTCTAGAAACAGGTGCTGTTGTATAAACGAAGAGTAACGACCAAGAGGAGACAGGACTAGCTTCCTCCCATTTCAACAGAAGCTCCTACAAACTTCAACAGTCCTGAAAGTTGAACAACAAAGCATAAACATATTTGCTGATCTAAATCTAGACGGTTTTAGGACCCTAGTGTCAAATCACAAGTTTCGGCTTTTAGGAGTTCGACACTGGAAAGCACTTTAATTAGGGGCGGAAGGGTAGTGGCAGAAGGGAGCGGGTTTGCAGATTGCACCTGTGTGATCACAACGACACAGCGTGCGTGCCTTCTGGTTCGCCCTTCTCCTCACATTCCACATGTCTACTTGCCAGTATGGATCAATCTATTTTCATCTAAGAAGCAGTCACAGGTACAAGCGCACTCAGCAATCGGATAATTGCAGAGATATCCTAGTGGTATCTGCTTGCGCGAGGGCAACGCTGAATAAGCTCCGAAACGGACTCCGAAGACACTCGTCCGACTCCGCTCACGCCACCTGCAGCAGCTCGGGGGCTCCCGCCGCTGCGCTGCCCGAGGGCCGCCCGCCCGTTCGCGCGGCCCCTCCGGCCCCGGCCGGTGGAGGCAAAGCACCGCCTCTCCACCACGGCCAGGGCGGGTCCGCACCGCGCCGCGCCCCGCCCGAGCTCAGCCCCCGCCTCCGGTACCGCTGAGTGAGGCCGAGGAACCGGGTGGATG